AAAAAAAAATACAGGTAGTCCTCGAGTTACGACCGAGACCAAAATTAGTCGCTAAGCGGGACAGAGTTAAGTGGGTTTTGCCCCCATTTTACGACTTTTCTTGCCACGGCTGTCAAGTGACCAGCTGCAATTGTTAAGTCATTCACACGGTCGTTAAGTGAAGCTGGCTTCCCTGTTGACTTTGCTTGTCGGAAGGTCGCCACACCCGCCCCCCAAGGACGTTGCGACCGTCGTAAATGCAAGTCCACTGCCGAGCGTCCGAATTTTGATCCCGTCACTGCAAGAACTCTTGCAAGTGTGAATAATGGTTATAAGTCCCCGTTTTTCCGGTGTCGTCGTAACTTTGAATTGTCACTAAGCGGCACTGTTGTAAGTCGAGGTCTACCTGTATCTTATTCTATTTTTTTTAAACTATATTCTATTATTTTAAGTCATTTCTCTATTGTGGGAGATCAATAGCAACGACAGCTTAGCAAGGATGTTTCCGGCGTATCAACAAAAGTCAAATCTTTGAATATTTTGGTCGCAAAAGGACAACGAAGGACCCCCTTCACACAGTCACAAGAGGCAGCCTCTGTTGTCCCCCACTGTAAACGGAACACACACACACACAATCACAACATGACAAAAACAGTGCAGGATTTCCTTAAATTTCCTGCCAGGAAGCAGGAAAACAGCCTCACCGAATTCCAGAGGCAGCCAGCTGTTGTGTGTTGAACGGATACGTCGTTTTTCCCCGAAGGGGAAATCGAGGCCTGAAACCGGAAGGCAGTGACCGGGTCCTCGCCTTACGACGCTACAAGCACGTGACAAAAACCCAGTACAGGTAGCCTTCAACTTACAACCACAACCGCCCGCCCAAAATTCCTGTTGCTAAGCGAGGCATTCGATCAATGACTTTTATGAACCTTATTGCTACGGTCGTTGAGCGAGTCCCACGTTAAGTGAACGTTCCCCCAGGGACTTTGCTTGCCAGAGCGTCGCAAAAAAGGGACACCCCCCCCCCCACGGGACACCGTAACCGTCATAAATAGGAACCAGTTGAAGAGCATCCAAATTTTGATTGGGGGACCGAGGGGGGTGGGCACTGCAAGTGTGAAAAACGGACGTTAAGTCACTTTTCCCACGGCCAATGAACGGTCGTAAGTGGAGGACTACCTGTACAAATCATCCCAGCCACAGTAGCTTTTTTTTTCCGTTCATGATGTATTTATAGGTCTCTATAAATTAAAAAAAAAAGCACAGAGTTTAATAAATTCTCAAATCAAAATAGAAAAAAAAATCATATATGTTATATATATATATGTATGTATATATATATATAACGGGAAAGGCATCCGGAGTTCTTGGCGAGTAAGGCTGGAGAAGCGGGTGGGTGGGTGGCTGGGGGGTTTCGGCCTGCTCCTCCTCCTCCTCCGTGGCGTTCTCCGTGGGACCATAAATAAGAGAGGAAATGAGAACGGGAGGGAGGGGAGGGCCGGAGAGAGGGGGGTGGTGGTAAGGACGGTGTTTTAAATTAGTGCGCCGGCCTGCGGGACGTTTTTCATTTCAAGCGTTCGATGAGTCCCTGCGTCAGTCCCAGGTGCAAAAGCTGCGATCGGCTGAGCTTGGCCAGGTGAGGGAAAAAGGCCAGCACCTTCTCCCAACAGAGTTCCAGCAGGCTGGGAACCACCAGCCACATCTTGAAGAGGGAGCCAGTCCGTCTGTTCCGGTGAATGTCCACCACGCCTCCGTGGACGTACATGCAGCCGGCCTGCGGGGAAGAAGAAGAAGGGGGGGGGGACCACTTTTAGAATTGTGTCTTGAAAAAGCTTCTCAGCCCCTCCTTACCTGACCTCTTCTGGCAGCCCCCCAAAAAGAGAATGCAGGAGGAGAGAGTTGGAAGGGACCTTGGAGGTCTTCTAGTCCAACACCCACCCACCCCCGCCTAGGCAGGAAACCTCCAGTAATGAAGCACCCACAACTTCTGGTGGCCAGCTGTTCCACTGGTTAATTGTCCTCACTGTCAGGAAATTTCTCCTCAGTTCTAGGTTGCTTCTCTCCTTGATTAG